AAAAAAAAAAAAAAAAAAAAAAAATCATTTGCTTGTGCGCACATCGTATATAGGAACTCTTTTACCCTATCAAGTCAAAATACTTAATATAGAAATATTACACTGGCCAAGTTTTCTTAAAAAGGTTTAATATTTGAATTTTTCTACTTCCCTGCTTCCTGCTATGTTACGGCGCCTTCCAGATTACATACTTTTATTTACGATATTTTAGAGGATATAAAATTTAGGTAAATTAACGTATGCATCCACTAGTCAAAATCGTTATACCGATGTTTATCTGGCTATATGTATAAAAAAGCTTTCCAATTTGATAATAATATGAATTTTGTGTTCTTTTGATTTCGCTTTTCTTTTTTTGTTGCTTTTTTTTTTTGTTTTTTTTTTTTTGTTTTAAGCAGGTGTTAATTTAAATGTAATACTTACAGGAGCTGCAAGTCGTTCATTGACGGGTAAGTAAACAATAGCGGGTGTAAACCATTTCACTTGGTCCAGATCGCTTTGAGATCCAATCGGTTCTAAGAAAAAGGCTTGCATGCGTTGATTTTCACTTATTGAAATTAATTGATCATTTTTAGGTACAGGACGAGTGACCATTGGATCGATTTTTTTCATCATATCCGGTAGTAATTCTATAAACATGGAATGTGTAGGTGAATTGGTCATTGATCTTGAAGCTCCCTCAGCTTTTAAATGATATTTCCGTCCGGAATTCTCATCTACTTGTGTAATTAGCTCTTTAGGTTTTTCTACACCTTCAGCCTTAACATCGCTACTTATTAGAGGTTGTGTCATTGTTTTAGTTTTAAATTCAATCTCTTCATTCTCTTTCTTGTCTGCATTTAAAATCGGTCCTTTCTTTTTATTGTCTTCTTCATTTTCTATATCTATGGGACTGTGGGGTGTGGCGTCTTCTCGGCTTTCGATTTCAATTCCACCATGCTTAATCATGGCATGGCTGTCTATGATAGCATGCGTTTTCTCATGTATAAATAGAAATGCATAATAGGGCGTAGTAAATGGGCATATGGAACATTGATACTCTTTAAAATGTGAAGACTCTAATGATTGTCCAGTCGCAAGTATATTATGTTTATGCATTTGAGAGTGTAATATGTGCTGGGTATTCAAATTTTGTAAAGCGTGGCCCAGCTGGGCGGAATGACTGCCGCTCGCAGAACTGCTAGAATCGGAATCGTTTGTCATTTTAAGAGTTGGACTAGAAGATTTGCTTAAGTTTCCAAAGTGCTCCAATTCGCCTAATTTCTCGCTCCCGCTTGTTGCATGATCAGATAATAAATGGGAACGGACAAATTTCGCATTACGAAAACGTTTGGTACAAATCGGGCATACTTCTGGGTAGTTTGGATAATTTTCACTTTTAATATCTGAGTTTCCAGTTCCACCTGCACCGCTACTTGCTGGACTTACATTTGTCGTACCTCTGGTCATAGATTCGATGTCCATAATTTGCGATTGTTGTTGCTGTTGTTGTTGTTGTTGTTGCTGTGGCTGTTGCAAGGATGAATCTAAACTAAGGCCGTTCTGCCTGGACTGCGGTAAAGGGGCTCCCTCCTCTATAATGCCATGGGTATTATGTTTATGAACTCGTAAAAAGTACTTGCTGCATAATTCCTTGTTGCATATATTGCATACAACTCCCCCAATTTGTGCGCCATTCTCAATTTCAATGCCATGCATGCGCTGCATATGGGTTTTCATAAAGTATTTGTTGCATAACTCTTTATTGCAAATCTCGCAATAACTGCTAGTGGGCGTAATGGTAAACGATGGTCTTGAGCTACTGCTGGACGTATTCGCGTTGATTGGACGTTCAGGGGCGACAAAGCTCTCGCGAAAAGGACTTTCCACGGCCGAGAGTAAATGCACTTTGGCGATATGTTTCTGAAACTCTGATAAAGAAATGAATTCTCGATCGCAAGAGGAACAACGTAATTCCTCAAGTCCTTTGACTTCTGAACCGGAGCCTGGCGAATTGCTCGGCGATTGTTTTAAGGTGCTCGGTTGGTTTTTTGATGGCAGTTTCCAGTACTTGTTTTCAATGCCACTATTATGCTTGGCCAATAAATGAGCCTCTAGAGCACATTGGTTTTCGAATTCGTTAGCACATAAGTGACATGTCACCGATTTTTTGCCACTAAAATCAGTTAAATGTTGAATCATCGACTGCAATTTCTGAAGGTTTTGTAAGTCAAGAGTTGCATCATAAAACGCGGCTCCTTTTTCAATTTGATCGCTCAGCGTTGGAAGTGTGGATTTTGAAGAATCTTGATCAGCAAACTTATCTTCACTGGAACTCCCCGGATTTTCTTCTTTGCCTGGGGTCTTCGAAGTAACATATTCGCCGCCAAGCGTCTCAAGTTTTATACGTTTATTTCGATGTATTGACTCTTCGAATTTCTCACTTTCCGCCATCAATGCTTGGTTCCATATAGTTTGCTCGTGGGGCATCATAAAATTTAACGGCGAATCCGGCACGCTAAGAAAGGGCCATGCTGAATATTTTTTGCGTTGACTTTCGCTATCGTCGCATGGCATGAAAATGCCATGACGTTTCCACTTATGAGTTCTTAGGAAATATTTGCTGCGATATTCCTTGCAACATAGCTCGCAAAAAGCTTCAGGATTAACAATTCCTAAGCGTTTTAGCTCGTCATAAGAGAAATTCGCCTCACGTGCCTGCTGTTGAGATTGAGGGGAGAGTTTACGAGGTTGGGGCGCGAAAGAAACGTCTTCCTGCTCCAATTCAAGATCTTGGCGAAGATCTGCGGACATTTGCAATATTCGATTGTCATTGATTGAATGTGCAGTAGGAATAGACAAATCAGATTTTTGTTCGGAGCTTGTCGAGCTCGATGCAATTTGAACGTTCGGGTTTGGTTGATTCGTTTCATGAGCTTTAACTCGATGACGACGCAAAGCAAAGATGTTAGCAAATGCTTTTGAGCAAAGGCCACAAGAAAATGCCGTTAAGGCTGGCGATGTGATCTTCTGCGGCCCAGAACTAATTTCGATCTCTCCGCGTTGCAACTCGTTCAGAGTGCTTTGCTCGACTTGCCACTGCTGTTGCTGCTGCTGTTGCTGTAATTCCATTTGCATTTTTTGATGTCGTTGTGTTTGCATTTGAAATATAGTGTTCATAGCTACCAAATTAGTTGACGGGTTGCTATTGCCGACAGTTTCCTGAACTGAATCAAAGATGCCATGTTTATTAGCTTTGTGCGTTTTTAAGAAATATTTATTACAAAATTCTTTATTGCATAGCTCGCAAAACGCTTCCGAATTGAAAACACGCATAGGTGGACGATGAATGCCGTCAACGTTAGGAAAACCGGTAATATTTAATAACGGCAAGTATCTGCCAACTTGTAAAGTTGCAGCTGCCGCTTGTTCAGGTGTAACGGAAAAACTCAGACTTGATGAGCTCGGACGTGGCCATATTTGATTTTTGCTTTCATTCGATCTTAGCGAACCTTTATCGGTCGCTACATCATTTTCTAATAAATTGGAATTATCACGCACAACAGAACCTTCTTCCAATTTCACTCTAACCGAAGTCAAAATATCAGACGAATTACCTTGGCTGGCAATTAAATCCTGATTGCTTTCTTTGTCAACTATAAACGCGTTGAAATCCAAATTATGCTCCTGCAGCAGGTGCAAATTTAATTTAAATTCATTATTAAAATTTTCGCCGCATTTCCTACAAAACATCTGATATGGGTTACAAAATTCACTGTTAGTGCTCTTTGGCTTATCTGAGGCATTTAAAGACTTGGCAACATTTTGAAGGCTTGATATGTTTTGAATTTCTTGCTCTCGATTTTGCTGTTGATTCCACAGCAGTCCGAAGGTTTCCTTTAATTGTTCTATCGACTTTGGTAAAAACATTTTCGCTAACTTATCCTCATAATCGATAGTTTTTGTATTGATAGGCATTTGAGAATAATCTTCGGCATGAAATGATGATGATGATGATTCATTATTTTCTGAATTCTGCTTTTCTTGTTGTTGCTGCTGTTGCTGCTGTTGATCCATATCAACTACAACTTTTGCATTCAAACTGTAGCGATCCGAATTTTTTGCATAGTCATCTTTGTCGCACTTTTGAGCGTTAAGCGCTTCAAGCAATTGTATTTGCATGGCTGCATTAGCGGCAACCGCCACTGCAGACATAGCAGCCGTACAATTCGTAGATGCTATTGGAAAATCCTCAGCAGTATTTATACTGCTTGGCACATTTGTGATTTCAGTTGGTAATTTTATGACGTCATCGTTAAGTACATCGGCAATAGTATGGTGTTCCCTATTTGCCTCAAGTGTTGCTGCTTTTGTTGATGACGTTGGCGATGTTGTTGACCTATTCACAATCGACGATGGGGCCTCGTTGTGGGTATTGCATAAGGGTTGATTAATAATAGCTGGGATTTCCGATGTGATTGCTGTTGTCGTCGTCATTGTTCTCGATGTAGTTGTTTCAGTTGCTGATGATGAAGCAACAGATACATCAGATAAAGCAGTATCCTCACTACTTAAATCTGGCGGTGGGGTAGCATATATAGAAGCGGCCATTTTCCTTGTTACTGGAAGGGGTTGTAACGAAAGTTTTAAAAAAAAATACATATAAATATATCAATAAAGGCAATTAACGTAAAATTATTTTAATAAAATCAATTTAATGAGGACGCATTCTCATAAACATGCAATATATATGTATATATATATATATATATTTGCGATATGTATATAAAATAAGTTTACTGGATATCGTAAATAATTTATTTATTATTATTTTTGTTATTGCGTTTCTCTTTTCTTTTTTTTTAATTCCATTGTCAATGAATTAAAACTAAAAAATCTAATTCATAGGTAGAATAAATTTCCAATAATTCATACATATATCTATATATATATATATATGTACTTATTTTTGCGCATGACTGGCCATATTTTTTTCTTTTAGTATTATTTCTTTTATTTTTCCTTCTAATATTTTTTCCATAAACTATACTTAGCTTCCATCATTATGCCAACCAACGCTCTCCTTCGCATTTTCTCTCTCAATTATTACAATAATTAGTGCTTGCAGTCACATTTTCCAGAGTTTGTCAAAATTATTTATGTATATGTACACATGAAATTCTTCTTTGTTGATTATACATTCTTCTTACACACATTTTCGCTTTCATTTTTAACATACACACACACACACACGAACACATCTATATATGATTTACCGATAAAGGAAATCTAAAACTTTTTTCCATAATATCTACTAGTATTTCGCATCTTCAATTTAATTTACTATCGAAAATGAATAAAAACCTCTTCTTCTTCTTCTTACACAAGTAATGAGAACGTTTTCATCCTTCGAATAATTTTTACCTTTAAAAAAAGGGAATTCACAACAATCCCAATTGTTCAAATTTTATTAAAGTCTGCACCAAGTGCTTGTGTATGCTTAAAATACGTTTACTATGTTCGTTCGTATATGCAACGCAAAATTTCATTGATCAAAATCTCTACCATCTATCAATTCCACGACTTATTTCAAACGAATACTTGATTGGCTCAAAGGTTGATTTCTCCCTAATCTCGAATGCGGATAATCCTTGGGGGGTACCCATTGAATTTTTCAAAACTACATATATATAAATTATATCGAAAATATATGCTTTTTGCTTCCATATTTAAAATACAATTCGATATTATGCTCAACGCTTATATCATGATGAATGGAATAATTATGCATCGATGCAAAATGTATGTAACGAAAACTGCAAGTTTTTTACAACAATTTTTGTTAGCTTAAGTTGAGCTCCATTTTTGAAGAAAGCCCCAATTGTTGTTAAAGTTATCTCAAACTTGATTAATGAAGATGAAAAAGTTTTGTTTTTCTTTTTTACCTCCAGACCCTGCGTCCGGCAGTTTAGCGCCATATATTTCCTGGAAAATAAATGTGCCACATATCGGATCGAATTCGGGTTTGGATTTTATATAAGAATGAACCAATGCGCGATAAACTTTAGCTTTTTTTTTTTGTCAAACACAAATCAAAACGAAAGAGAAGACGGAAAGGAAGCCTTCGATTATTATATGGGTATGTTATTTGTTTTAGTCAACATTACGATGACTATTGTTATTCGATGCGTAATGAAGAAGAATTTGAAAAAGCTAAAAACAATATACTGGACCATAGTTCACCAATCCTACACAAATCTACAGCTATTTATCCAATGACTTTTTAAAATAAGGCGTTATTTGGATATTGATTCGGAAAAATGGATCCAATCATTTGGTCAAAACATGTCGATGTACCAAAGTTCATCAAAATATCTCATCAATTGCGATATGCAATATGTTAGTACAGGTTAAATGGATTTCGAATGAGATTGAGAATCAATTGGTCTAATGAAAGGTGGGTCTATACTTCAGCTCAAACTTAATGTACCCTTATGCCAGAAGAAGTCTAGGCTATAATAAGGGAGATATTATATTTACTTTTGGCCATGATTATGGCCATTGCAACATTCGATTTAAGGATATATTTGGCAAGATCTAACACAATGTCTATTAGAGATAAAGGCTACCGGTGTACAAACTCTTTGAGAAATCTAATTACCATTTTTAGCTATTACAAACGAAAGAATATCTCTGGCATACGGTTATCACTTGACTTCACATTTTATAACCTAAGCCTGCATTTATACGTATTTTAGAAAGGTAATACCTCTCTAATTAATCTAGCAAATATCATGAGCAAGCCATGCGCCAAAATTAAGGCATGACTTCAAATTTAGTATCTGTGATGTTAGCCGGCAAAGTACAAGGAATCGATCAAAAATTGCATATAAGATAAATTTTTAATTTTCGAAAACATCTATCTATCTACATACGTAAGTGATTCTCTGCAATTAAACTATAACTTCGGTAGGTATAAAGTCGACAAGGAGAGGATGGACTTGCCAAGCCAAAAAAAAACCCGAGCAAACTTGCAACACAAAATTTCAATATAAATATAAGAGAGTGCTACGAAAACCTAGTTGGGTTGAGTTGTTCACTTCACGAAATATAAAATGGTATAATATTTTATATTTGATCCGAAAATAACTTTGAGGTTAACTAATATTGAATGTTCAAAACCCTGGTAATGTAGGGAGCGGCGCAAAATAACCTCAACGGGAAATTTTTATATTTTAAATATTTAAAAAGTTGCACAATTCGTATTGAAATTAAACGTGGACATGAGTGCGCTCAAAAAAAAGTGCATTAACATGCCTTATATACATATTCTATTGTCAATTGTCTACATTACGTTTTCATTTAAATTAAAAAAAATTAATTAATTAATTTTTAAATTTTTAAAATTTGAAAAAAAATTTAAATTTAACATTAAAATGTAATTTTTATAATTAATAATTCAATTTAATTTTTTTGAAAATAATTTAATAGAATTAATAAATTAAAATTAAAAACAATTAATTAATATAAAAATTTTTTAAATTTTAAAATTGAATGAAAATGGAATGTAGACAATTGGCAACAATTTGCATTTCAAGATTAATATGATTTATTCTTATATGTAATTTCTTTAAAACTTATTCGAGAAATATTTGTAGAATTTTTTTTTAACGCCGAGGATATTTATTATTTTCCCTTAACACAAAGATGAAATTCTTGCTTAATTTTAATAACTTTTTAACTAACTAATTAATAAGATCGTTTCTTAAATTCTTTATATTGTATATGAACAAAATAAAAAAAAACAATTTACATATTCATATCATATTTTGTTTTGAATTTTAATTTCCTTATCAGTATTGTACTATTTATTTCAATTTTGTCACAAAAAAGTTTTCAAAAATTATTATATGATAGTAAAAAAATTTTATACGTTAGACGTGCTTATTAATTATTTGGTTTTTTTTTTAAATTCACTTCTTACCCAAAAATTTTTTAATATCGAGAACAAAAAAAAAAACAAAAAATTTAGTTCGGAAACTTGAAATTGTTTTTATCAAAAATCACATGACAAATAAACACTAAGCGTTGACGAATCAGTTAAAAAAAAAAAAAGAAAACCCAAAAAAGAAAAATACAAGAAAAGAAAAGAAAATCATTAACATTTTGTGTGTAAGCACTTTTTATCAGTTCATTTTTTTACTTGCGAACAGCACATGCGCAACGTGTGCCGGGTGTGTATAATCTCTGGAACGTGCACAGAATTACTGCATGATATAGCAAAAAGTCGTAATAATGAAAATAAGTAATTTGTTTCCTAAAAATGCATTCAGTTTTCAATGCGGCGCCAACCGCTTGAATCAACCGAAATATTGAAAAAAAAGTAAAACGACAATAACAACAACAAATAACAAAGGTAAAAATCGAAAATTCCCTCCCTCCATTGATAACTTTGTTGCACAATTATTGAGTAGAAATGCCGGATTGTCACTTTTCCTTCCCATTTACCATAGGCAACAGAAATATGAACGATAGCAAACAACTGGCATTATCATCGATAGAGCGTAGATTGCAGAAACATTAAAAACTTGAAAAAAAAGAAAAGAAAAGAAAAACACCCCAAAATAACAAAAATCATATATTTTCCCTCAAAAAAAAAAAAATAAAAAGAAGTGATTGAAAAAACTATAAAATACACACACACTGACACACACACAAGCACATGTCTTTTCAGACAATGCACCAATATTATTGATAATGGCTTTATACGTTACATATATATACATATATATATATATATGTACATATATATATATATATACGTAAAATAGAGTATTAAGCTCCGTTCATGCATTAATGTTTTTCACAAATTAAGCTCCGCCTCTTTAATAACAAATTCTATTATTATTGCAATAAAAATTTTTTCGATTTTATTTTCTAAAATATATATATATTTTTTTTTTCTTTCATCAAATTTTCCTCTTTTCCGCATGTAATAATTTGTTTTTCTTTTTTTCGGTTATTTATATCGATACATTTATCCACATTTTTATACACTGTAAGCTTTTCATTATTCATTCGACTGATTGTGTTTAGTTTAACGCGGCCACTTTCATACGAACGCATACTCTCGACAACTTTTACATGTGGGTGTTATTAAAAATGCAAATTGATTATTTTGCTTTTGTAATCTCTAGTATAAAGAATGTCATTCAGTCATTCAATAGATTAGTTATTGTTGTTATTTTCACATATATATGAATTATGATACATGTATATATATATATATATATACGATATGATTTGTTCATATCACTTTATTGACATATGAAATTGTATGAAATTTAATTTTCATAAATAATACGAGGTGCTGGCAAATTATATGATCCAAGATATAATTTGAAATATCTCACAGGAGTTTTTATTGCGCCGTATCGGCATTAATCGATCAGAAATCTTACAAAGTTTTAACTGTTAAAAATGCAATGACTAAGTTATGGTGGATTTTGAAAGAAGCTGTAAGCATAAGCCACTACAGTGTTTCTTAAACTTTCCTTGTTAGGATTTTAAAATATTCTTTGATTGCTCTTCCACCTCCTAATCACGTAACGGTCTTTCACGA